ATCAAATAGTACAAATGGTGAAGTTAATTTGTGGTCGACATTCATCTGATATTGACACCCCCAACTGTGAATTATTGAAGATCCTGTGGTTATCTTTATGTAGAGGGGAAAATATTTCATCACTCATTATGCTTCATACATCAGTTCCATTGCAACATTTTCTTGAGGAATGGAAAACTTTTGATAATAAAACTTATTCGTATTTTTATTACAATAAATAAAGATTGATATACAAAACGAAATGGAAATTCATACGATTTAGGCAGTTAGTAATTGATGGGAACTGAAATAACTGTTTCAGTGGACAAACCTCCACATTTTGACAAAGAAAAAGCTTTCAAGTCAATGTTTAGAGGGCACACGCTTTCTGGAAATGACTTGAGGAAATCAGTTAAGGTGACATCAAGACTGCGAATCTGAACTGAATCTTCAACTGTTAATTTGACAAACAAGTCAGGGCGAGCTTATTGAAACAGGTGAAGAACAGCTTAATTCAACAATGTCTCAGCAGGAGGTAGAGTTCAGTTCTGTTGTTGTTAATAACTTATCAACTATGGGAAAGCTGTGCCCGCAGTCTTAGATACCGCCTGACTCGCTTAAGGATGTATGGAGGACGGTATTCAAGAGAAAAGGCACAGTTCTTTTTACTCACGTGGGTTGGTGAAGAACAATTTTTTTTTACTTTCTTAAAATCAACGAGATGTTTGCCAAAAGAATCTGAAAGATTTAGCGCTGTAATTACGGCAAGATCCTGCATAAACTAAACACGGTAAAGGGATACCAGAGGTAATGCAAATTAAAAAGAGAGGCTTCACCGGAACATTTTTTTTGCTGGATGTTATTGATAATGAAAGGTAAATTAAAAGGAGTCTAAAAGCGTTTCTAAACAATTCCAACTACATTTGAAATATATATTTTGATAACCATTTGTCACGATATGACACCTGTCAATTAGAGAGTGCATAAGAAAAACTAAGTGCATTTTGAATGAACAACAACACTGGTTTGGCAAGCAGGAGTTGAATGACTGTCTGAACGAAAGATTCTTAAAAAACAGTCAGTGATCTTACGGAAGGTTTTTTTTTTTATTCAGTCGAAGATCAATCTACGAAGATTAACCACGGTCCAGTTTTTATGGGATGGAAAGTCTTTGTAAGTAAATTCAAATCTTTGTTTTGGAGATGTGGAGAGTGTGCTCGTTTGTCGATATCAGTTGCTGCAATGGCATGCGCAAATCTTGTCTCATCCACCGAATTACTGAAGTCACTTTGATATCACACAAGAAGATTTAATGCAGCGTTTACTCATTCATATTCCATTTATACTCTATTTACTCATCTATATTCGGTTTCTGATATAGAAATGTCCAAATTCAACGGACTAGCAAAGCCTTGGCGGAAAAGTATTAGGCGTACAGCTAAAACTTCGCTCAGTGTTTTACAGCGAGTTTTGGAGAATTAAGATATCGAACGAATGAATGTTAGGCCCTCGTCAGACGCAGCGCAGCAGAAGTACGGCTCTGTTTGATTCACCCGTCGGGTTAGAGTCACAGGAATTTCAGGATTAATTGAAAAACCTCCCACGGGTGCTTAATCCTGCCCGAAAAAAAACACAAGTTATGAATTTAATTTGGCTCGGCAGAGGCACGACGTTGGAGTCGCTGGCGCGCAGAATCTTGCAACATGACAAAGCTTGTCCAACTTAACCTTCTTCGAACTTAATTAAAAAATTTAATTTCGACGCTGTGCCTCTGCCGTGCTTTTGTTGAGCTTAATTAAGTTGGACACGACAGGAACACGACATTTATTGATGTAATCGTTACGGTGGCCAATTTACCATTTCAACTTTGTTGATATATCCAAATTATTTATTGATGTAATTGTAAACACATACTTCATGTTTAAACTTTCTGCGTTACTTTTTGTGAAGGATTATTAAATTACGAATCATTTTTAGGCCGGAAAAACAACACATTTTTATAAAACTTGCAACAAACTGTAGGGATGTACTACAACAACAAAACTTTATTCTTATTCTGATTACAGACTTACATAATTGAAAATTCTTATTACAAAAATACATGATTAAAATAGTTTGCTCCGCAAATAGCTAAGAAGCTAGTCTCGGCGGAGCAAAACAAGAACGTGATTAAAATAACAAGTTATGGAAGAATAATAATAAATAAGGCAAACCTATGTTAATAGAGAAAAACCTTGCAGATTGCAACTAGAGATAAATAAAACACAGAAATTGAGAGATCAAATTAACACAACACTTACGTGTACTTGGCAACTCGACACGCAACGGATACCACCCGCAGAGAGTGGGCATGATGGGATAATAATACCCGCTCTTGGAACCAATCAGATGATTATTCAACTGAGTACAGTCTCAGCACGTAGTATAGTTCAGTTATGATGATGTTGTCAACAACTTATCAACTGAGCGTCGAAACCTTTTTTGAATAGATTTTACAACAAATGTCTCTCTTTTCCTATAAAGAGAGAATCCTGGATACTTTTAATCTACTGGGGTCTGGATATGGTAATGTTCTTCGAAACTTGTCCGGCATATACATGTAGATGATGACGTAAGTAGGCTGTAGGAGAAACGTTAAAGGCCTCCCCAAAAATTGAGAGGTCTCGTTGAAAACCAAACTGCATCTGGCTGAATTTCAGTTATAGTGGCAATTGCTTTGTTTTTCGTGCTTGGTCAGAACTTCTCTCTTTGAACCTGGGCTTCCTGGAGAGATTGTTTCACATTGAAACTGAAAAGATGAACTCAAGTTTACTGCTATTATTGGTATATCATATCAACTTTGTTAAGATAACCAATTGTTATGAGCCCGGAGCGCTGCCTCGAGTCACCGTGCTTTCAAGTCAGGCGCTTGATTTATTACAATGGCGTGCAAACCTGGACATAGATGTTGTAAAATTTCCTGCTGGAAACCTCAGTTTCTATGACGCTCTGAAAGTCGTTGAAACGATTTCTAGAACAATACAAGAAGGAAATGGAACTAAGGCCATCATAGGCTCTGGTAACAAATTCATTGACAGGTTAACAGCAAGCACGCTTGGATTGTTGGTGATTCCATTTATAAGTGTATTGAGCCAGGATGAGTATCAGGTATTTAAAGCAAAACCTTTACATATATATATATATATATATAGTAAGTGTAAAACGATGAAACATGAAGCAAACTTCTAACTGTTCCAGCTTTAATGTGGCGANAATGACTCATCCTAGATAGAGTGCACTCTATCTAGGATGAGTCATTGCTGTTGCAATTGCGTATGCTCACTAGTTTATTCTAGTTTGAGCACTCTGGCATGGCTTAGACGGTACCACAAATGTTGGGTCGTTTGGGGTGACCCTGCCGGTTTTCTCCCATCCTAGCATCGGCACTGCACTGCTGAGGCCCAGAAAGCCGAAACAGAACTGTCTGCAGTTATATATATATAAATTCTGTATACGAGGGAAAGCCTGACCCTGTACACCCCAAATAATCATACTTAAATAGAATAAATGTTTGAAAAGAAATTTTCCCTGAGCGGGATATGAACCCACGTCCCCCTGTTACTAGTCAGGTGTGATGACCACTACACTATCAGGACAACCATGCTGGCAACACGGCAATCGAAGATGTGATTTACGTGATCGGAGATATCCTGGTTTAATGGCCTGGCGGAGGGTTTTTGCAGGTTTTTGCAGGAATATTGAAAATTTTCCATCGCAATGGCGACTGTGGGTGACTGTTTTGAGAAATATAAGCTAAAAGTTACGATGATGAGAAGGAATGGACAGTTTTTTCGGTTGATACTAAGCGAAAAAATGGGTAATTTTAAGAATGTTTTGGTTGCTTCACTAAGCCTCAGTCATTTTTTTAATGATCGAGGCAGTGGTAAGATAAAGAATTTTCATTGTAGTCGTTGCATCAGGAAAAATAATCTTGGATTTTCTAAGTTTGTAGTCCGATATCTGTGTTAGATCATTCCCTCATCTTCGATCACTCTTTTCATATTTGGATGATTATTTCTTCACTCCTTGATGTTTGGTTACAGTTCCAGAGATCGAGGTTTCAATCCCATGATAGCTGATGAAGGTGGCGAAGCCCGAAGCAACCATCACGCATAGAAATAGGGAGCAATATCTTAATCTGCTTGTCATTTAAAACTTAACAACGGATAGGCTCACGTTGTCATTTCATTTTGTTGAAAACGACTCAATGGCAGACTACACACCTTACTCACTATTTATAAGATATTCGATGGCGAGTAACTCGGCCAATCAGATAAAGTCACCACCACTAGTATCATGACACAGTGAGTGGTACTGTAACTGAATGATATTACTTGGCATAGTTACAAAATCAATTTTAAATATTGGGTTTTTAACACTGTTTACCTATAGGGTCAGCTCTACCTTAATCTCAGCCCATCCAGACTTACGGACCACATAAACATTGCCTTTAACATTGCTGATGAACTCGGCTGTCAACATGTTGCAGTGTTCACCTCCAGCTTTCACAGGTCAGAAATTCTGCAACAAATTCTAAAGAAGACAAAGGGATCTTATATTTCCTCAAGCATTGCAGAACTACATCTTAATGACACACCTATTGGCATTGCAAGAATGATGACAAAAATCTTTAAAATCACCGTGAATTACAACTCAGTTCTGGTTGTAATGGACTGCAGTGACCAGGACGCTTCGTTGCTTATAGAAGCGACTAACACCATTAATATTGAGCCTATGAAATTTCATTGGTTGTTTCTGAGAGAGGAGGAACATAGCACCAACAAAGTGAAATACCTTCCTATAAATGTGTTCGGCCTACGTTCTAAATTTGATAAAATGTACTGGGTGCAGGATGCGTTACTCCTCCTCAATGGCTCGCTTTACCAAAGCAACCACCAGAATAAATTTTCCAACACTGGACCCGTCAGCTCAAAAGTTACCGACCAATCTAAATTATACAGGTGAGTAAAACATGAAGGTAGCTATTGGTTGGTATTTGATCTTCACCTATTTGTCGTCGGCCGGACCAATACCCATGGTCTTAAAATAAGTGAGGAGAATT